AAGACATGCATGAGGCCACAGCATATGAAATAAAGCTCAAAGTCACTGACCATTGGAGAAATACAATTCAAACCACAATGAGATATCATCTCACACCAGGCAGAATGGCTAGTATTAAAAAGTAAAAAAATAAAATAGCAGATGCTGGTGACATTGTAGAGAAAAAGAAACACTTATTCACTGTTGGTGGAAGTGTAAATTAGTTCAACCATCGTGGGAAACAGTGTGCTGATTTCCCAGAGACCTAGGATATTATCCAGGAGAACTTCCCCAATCTAGCAAGACAGGACAACATTCAAATTCACGAAATACAGAGAACACTACTCTGTTACTCCTTGGGAAGAGCAACCTGAAGACAACAATCATCAGATTCTTCAAGGTTGAAACAAAAGGAAAAATGTTAAGGGCAGCCACAGAGAAAGGTCAGGTTACCTACGAAGGAGAGCCCATCAGACTAACAGCGGATCTCTCTACAGAAACCCTACAAGCCAGAAGAGAGTGGGGGCCGATATTCAACATTCATAAAGAAAAGAATTTCAACCCGGAATTTCATACCCAGCAAAACTAAGCTTCATAAGGGAAGGAGAAACAAAATCCTAGGCCGAGCGCGGTGGCTCAAGCCTGTAATCCCAGCACTTTGGGAGGCCGAGGCGGGCGGATCACGAGGTCAGGAGATCGAGACCATCCTGGCTGACACGGTGAAACCCCGTCTCTACTAAGAAATACAAAAAACTAGCTGGGCGAGGTGGCGGGCGCCTGTAGTCCCAGCTACTGGGGAGGCTGAGGCAGGAGAATGGCGTGAACCCGGGAGGCGGAGCTTGCAGTGAGCTGAGATCCGGCCACTGCACTCCAGCCTGGGCGGCAGAGCGAGACTCCGTCTCAAAAAAAAAAAAAAAAAAAAAAAAAAAAAATCCTTTCCAGGACAGCAAATGCTGAGGGAGTTTGTCACCGTCAGGCCTGCCTTACAAGAGCTCCTGAAGGAAGCACTGAATATGAAAAGGAAAAACCAGTACCAGCCACTGAAAAACAAACAGAAATATAAAGACAATGACACTATGAAGTGAAGACACTGCATCAACTAATGTGCAAAGTAACCAGCTAGCATCATGATGACAGGATCAAATTCACACATAACAATATTAATCTTAAATGTGGAGACTGGCACATTGGATAAAATGTCAAGACCCATCGGTGTGATACATACAGAAGACCCATCTCACGTGCAAAGGACACACAGGCTCAAAATAAAGGGATAGAGGAATACTGACGAAGAAAATGGAAAGCAATAAAAAAAAGCAGGGGTTGCAATCCCAGTCTCTGATAAAACGGACTTTAAACCAACAAAATACAAAATTAGCTTGGCATGGTGGTGCACGCCTGTAATCCCAGGTACTAGTGTGGCTGAGGCAGGAGAATCACTTCACATAGGGTGGTAGAGGTTGCAGTGAGCGGAGACCATGCAACTGCACTCCAGCCTGGGCAACAGACTGAGACTCTATCTCAGAAAACAAAACAAAACAAAAAATAATACCATTGAAAAGTGGTCCAAGGACAGGAACAAACACTTTCAAAAGAAGACATGCATGTGGCCTACAAGCATATGAAATAAAGCTCAAAACCACTGATCATTAGAGAAGTTCAATTCAAACCACAATGACATATCATCTCCCACCAATCAGAATGGCTATTAAAAAGTAAAAAATAAAATAAAATTTAAAAAATAACAGGTGCTGGTGATGTTGTGGAGAAAAAGAAACACTTAATCACTGTTGGTGGAAGTGTACATTAGTTCAACCATTGTGGGAAACAGTGTGCTCATTCCCCAGAGACCTAAAAACAGAACTACCATTCGATCCAAGCAATCCCATTACTGGGTATACAGTCAAAGAGATATAAACTTGTTCTGTTATAAAGACACATGCTCACATATGTTCACTGCAGCACTATTCACAATACCAAAGACATGGAATCAACCAAAAAGCCCATCAATGGTAGACTGGATAAAGAAAATATAGTACATATATACCACGGAATAGTATGCAGCCATAAAAACGAATGACACTATCTCCGTTGCTGGAATAAGGATGGAGGTGGAGGTCCTTATACTTAGCAAAGTAAAGCAGGACAGAAAACTAAATACACATGTTCTCACTTATAAGTGGGAGCTAAAAATGAGAAAAAATCAACACACAGAGGAAAACAACAGACACTGGGGCCTACCAAAGACTGGAGGATGGGAGGAGGGAGAGGATCAGGAAAAATAGCTCATGAGTACCAGGCTTAATACCTGGGTGACAAAGTAATCTGTACAACAAACCCCCATGACACATGACACAAACCCCCATGACAAAACAAACCCTGCATAAGAAACCTGCACCACATGTATGCCTGAACTTAAAAGATACAAAAAGAATAAGAAAAAATAGATTTCAAAACAAAAACTTTGAGAAGAGACTAAAAGGTCACTATATAATAATAAAGGGGTCAATTCATCAAGAGGACATTAACAATTTTAAATATATATGCACACAACACTTGAGCACCCAGATATATAAAACAAATGCAATGAAGAGAGAGACAGGCCCCAATAAAATAATAGATGGGGACTTCAGCACCCCACATTCAGTACTGGAGAGATCTGCCAAACAGAAACTCAACAACAACAACAACAAAAACAAAGAAAAAAAAAACCACAGAGTTAATCTGCACTACAGGCACATGGATCTAATAGATATTTACAGAACATTTCATCCAACAACTACAGAATACACATTCTTTTCCCCAGCACATGGATCATTCTCAAGGACAAGACCATGTTAGGTCTCAAAACACTAAAAAAAAAAACCTGAAATAATATCGTGGATCTTGTCAGACCACAGTGGCATAAAACTAGAAATTAATAACAAGAGGAATTTTGGAAACTATACAAATACATGAAAACTGAATAATCTGATCCTGAATGAATAATGGGTCAATGAAGAAGCTAAGAAGGAAATTTAAAAATTTATTGAAACAAATGACGATGGAAAAAAATATACCAAAACCGATGGGATACAGCAAAAGCAGTACTCAGAAAGAGGTTTATAGCTGTAAGTGCCTACAACAAAAGAGGTAAAAACTTCAAATAAACAATTTAACGATGCATCTTAAACCAAACCAAAAATTAGAAGAAAAGAAATAATGAAGATCCCAGCAGAAATAAACAAAATTGAAATGAAAAAAAAAACCTATTTTTTTAATAGGTTAACCAAAATTGACATACCATTAGCCGAGCTAAGGAAAAAAGAGAGAAACCCAAATAAATAAAATCCGAAATGAAAAAGGATTTAGGAGGCTGAGACAGGTGGATCACTTGAGGCCGGGACCTAAAGACCAACCTGGCCAATATGGCAAAATCCATCACTACTAAAAATAAAAAAATTAAACAGGTATGGTGGTAGGCGCCTGTAATCCCAACTACTCGGGTGGCTGAGGCAAGAGAATTGCTGGAACCCTGGAGGTGGAGGTTCTAGTGAGCTGAGACCCTGCCATTAAACTCCAGCATGAGGACAAAAGGAGACTCTGTCTCGAGAAAAGAAAAAAAAGAAATAAAAGAAAAAAGAAAACAGAAAAGAAAAAAGAAAATAAAGAAAAAGAAACGAAAAACAAGATATTACAAAACTAATGCTGCAAAAATTCAAAGGATCATAACTGGCTCCTATGAGAAACTCCATGCCTCTAAATTGGAAAATCTAGAAAAAAATGGACTAATTCCTAGATACATACAACCTCCCAAGACTGAACCAGGAAGAAATCCATAACCTGAACAGACCAATAACAAGCAACAAGATCAAAGCCATAATAAAAGTCTTCCAGTAAAGAAACGTCTGGACCTGATAACTTCACTACTGAATTCTACCCAATGTTTAAAGAAGGACTAATACCAATCCAACTCAAATTATTTTGAAAGATAGAGGAGCAGGGAAGAGTTCCAAACTCATTCTATCAGGCCAGTATTACCCTGATACCAAAACCAGACGAAGACACATGAAAAAAAGAAAACTACAGGGCAAAACTGCTGATGAATATTAATGCAGAAATCTTCAACAGAATACTAGCAAATCACATTCAACAATACGTTAGAAAGAATCATCATCATGACCAAGTGAGATTTATCCCTGGGATGGAAGGATGGTTTAACATATGCAAATTAATGTATGTGATAAATCATATCAATGGAATGATAAAAACCATATAATCATTTCAATTGATGCTGAAAAGCATTTAATAAATCTCAGTACGTCATCATGATACAAATGCTGAAAACACCAGTGAAAGAAGGAACATACTTCATTGTAATAAAAGTCATATACCACAGATCCACAGCTAGTATTGAAGTGCCTCATTGTCTGGGGTAACACCCAGAGTTCTTGGATTCACAGCCAAGGAAATCAAGGACATGGGCACACCAAGAGTGAGGTGTAGAGCAGAAAGTTAATAGGAGAAACAAAGAGAACAGCTTTCTACTGCAGAGAGGGGTCCCAGAAAAAAACAGTTGCCATCCTGCAATGAAATACAGGGGTTTTTATAGATGAGCTAGTGGGGAGGCAGTATCTGATCACCCACACAGGGTACAAACAACCGGTTAGGACCAGGTGTACCATCTGCATAGGGTGTGAATCTCTGGCAGCCCCCACCCTAATCTTTTATTATGCAGGCGGGTCCTCAGCCTGAGCTACAACATGTTGCTCATTTCGTTCTTACTGTGTATGTGCTACAAAAGGGGAGATGGAAAGCCCATGGTGGACATGCCTGGCCCCACGTGGCCTTATCTATCTGTGCAGCTATTGGCATCCCACTATGAAAGCTTCCAGCTTCCTATCTATCTATGATAGAAAATCAATGTACCAACATTTTATCTCCATGTACCATCTCAAACACAGGATTTAAATTTCCAAAAAAGATATAATTCTCAAGACTATTAAAGATCAAAAAACAAATTTAATAAAACTGTGCAAGGATTCTTTGCAGAAAACTATAAAACTTTATTAAGAGAATGCTATCAGTCAAATTTCCAGCATAACAATAACATTCTTGGTTTCAGTCTTCATTTCTCTTGGTGTAACCTATCGTTGCGCATCACCTAGAACATAAATATACAATTAGGACCCATTACTCAGCAGATTTTAATTCATATGACACTAGAGGTATACAACTACCATCTTGATGAACTAATATCAGAACAGTGAGGATGACCATTTAGCCTATATCCAGTTAGCCTCTGAATAAATTCTGAAAGTAGACTTCCAGGCCTATTAACAATATTTTTTATTCATGCCACTTTTTCTAGAATAAGGAAACAGAGACTGTTTAACTTCAGAATGAATTCAATCAAGTGAATCTATTTGTATGTATAAGTGGAAAGCAAAAAACAAACAAAAAGAACGCATATACTTTCAATGAAAATTCAATGAAACAAAACCCCAAGGGAAAAAGATATTTTTAAAGTATCATTTAAATATTTTGATATAAAATAACACTTGAACACAGAATATGCTTAGAACTCCCTAAGTGAAGGAAATAGAAAAGTCAGTATTACATTTGTTTTGTGTCTCTTGTGAAAAAGTGTAAAAACGTTACTTTGGACTAGTTTAGTCATTATGCAGTTGCTTTAAGTAGGGCGAACATTTGTCACTATTTTCACCGGAATTCCTGCCTCTTTACATGCCTAAAAGCAGTTCAGTTTACTCAGTTTATACAGTAAACTGAATACCCACGCTAGCTGTAAGCCATTACCATCACAATTAACACAACAAAATACTGATGCTTATTATAAACATGTTACGTATTTGTTAAAAACAGGCCTCTATAAAAGTATCAGAAAATTATTGGCTGTTGGTTAAATGACTTACATTCAAAAGTCACGTTTTCATATCTCTTTTTTTTAAATGACACATGAAAACATATATATTTATCATGTATAACATGATGCTTTAAAATATATGTACACACTATGAAATGGCTACATCAAGCTAATTAATATCTGCATTACTTGAAACATCTGTGAAGACACTCGATAGCTATTCTCTTAGCATGTTTCTTATCTTTCATATCATAATCCAATTAACTTCGACCCAATTTTTCTCCATCTTTTGAAGTCCTGGCCTCAAGTGATCCTTCTGCCTCGGCCTCCCAAAGTGCTGGAATTAAAACCATGAGCCAGCATACCTGACCTTCTATCGATCATAGTGTGTGAGGCAGCCATTTGGGGTCTGAACTACCTTCAAAGAATCTTTGGACATGAAGTAAGATATTAAAGTAGCACTAATTTTACCTCTGTGTCACACAAAATATAATATTGTGAAAACAGACACCCTATAGTTTGCATCTTAATTGAACAACATACCTGCTTCCAGCACTTTAGTGGGATCAAAAGTGGGCAGAGTCCCCTCCCTGACATCAGGACCATCTCCAGGCTCATCCTCTATCTTAAGCAGAGCCAGTGCCTGTTGAAAAGCTTCCACGTCAGGCCCTTAAAAGATAAAAAGGTCATCAGTTTACAAATTAAAACATGAACTATGAACGAGGAAATGATAATTTATTCCCTCATCATTATGAAATAAAAACCTGTAGGCTAATTATTTCAGGAGTCTGTTGCCAGGAAAACAGGAAAGCAGAGATGTTCAAACATCACCCTTTCCTTTCCCAAGGCTGGCCCTAGACAACTTACTTGCCCCTTTTGTATTCATTTGCTCTTATTCTTATCACATTAAATCAGTGATTTGTTTGAGTCAGTCTGACTAGACTATGAGCTTTAGGCTGCAGTTTGGCACTGACGTTTCCAGCACTTAGTAACATGGCATGAGGAAGCATTAATAAATGTGTATTAAAAAGTTTCTTAAAAAATACATGAGATGTCCACAGATGGCAGACTGGGAAGCTACAAGGAGCCATTCTTCCACAGAAACATAAAATACAAAACAAACCAAAAAAACAGAAAATGGCTGAGCAAACCATACAGCAGCTCTGGAAAACACTCACAGGCTTATGACAACCATGCAAGTACCCAATCAATAAAAAGCCTCTGTCAAAATGGTAGGAAAGTTTTGTGGCTTTTTATGTGTCCTTGTCCCACCCCTACCCACAGCAGCAGCAGGAAACGTTTAAGATTCCTTCCTAATGTTTTCTGGCCTCCTGTTACTGGTATGTCATAAAATATAATGCATAAATATACCTCCACCACCCACAAGCATTATTCTCCACTCTCCCTTCACCTTGAACAGCAGGTGCTCCTTCATTTTCGATCTCCCCACTAGGTGCAATACCCTGATTTTCAGTTGGTGCTTCCTCTTCTTGACGTTTTTCCTCAGTGGGCTGCTGGACCTAAGGGTGTAAGTGTGTGTGCGAATAAAAACTCAATAATATAAATACACAAATGCATATGTGCATCGAATCATAAATCTAAAGATATTCTTCCAACAGACATATATATATATACACACACAGAGAGAGAGAGAGAGAGAGAGAGAAATATCCATATCCATACAGGTAACACCAGAATATAATATTCCTGAACCAAAGTTTCCTTCATGAGATGTCATCATCATTTTTTTATTAGCATGGAACCCCTGGACCAGTGCATGTACACTAGCTCAAATATATTTTGTAAAATAAATTGTGTTAATAGAAAACATCAAATGTTAAAGGACTCACAATCACAGATTCAACCGGCTGGGAAGACTCTTGTTCATTTCCTCTTTCTGAGGATTGGGATCTTGTTCTTACATGCTCACTCATATTTCCCACTGAAAACAGAATATTGTTATTTGGAAAAAGTGTGTAAGAACGTAGCTACATATATGAACATTCCATGGCAAAATGGTGATTTGTACTTTTAAAAGTTTGAATTTATCTTAATTTTGAAACTATTTTCAAACTAATTCACAGAGCAATGATAAGTACTCATGCTTTGCAATCAAACTAAGGACAGATTTGTTTGTATCACAGTTGAAGAGGCACAGAAATCACCTTAACGCCATAGCAAAAGACAGAAGACATTCCTGAGTTTTGGTTTCACAATCAGACTCTCCATCATGAAGACATTTAGGAAAAAATGGGCAGAGAATTGAAACTGATGACTACTGCTTTCGTCTCACTCTGATTTGCTAGGCCCATTTCACCCCCACACCCTTCCCAAAATCGAGTCTTGCTGGAAAGCACAGCCTCACCCATTCCTTCCCATGACGTTCACAGCGGAGGTGAGAAATTGTGAAACAGAGTGAACGTCATGCTCCTCACGGGACACCTCTGCCAGGCACTCTACAGAACTCAGGGCCGCAGACACCAGCCCACAGCGTTCCCAGTTCCCAGGCCCCTTCCTTACCGAACACGCTGTCCCCTTCCGCGCCCCTACCTAGGAGTGTAGAAACTGTCCTGTCTCAGAGGGTTCCAGGAGTTTCCGGGACTCAGACACCTCTAACAGCACGCGCAGCACTCGCCCCATCTTCATGGGATCCCTCCCCTCTGTAGCCCACCTTCCTCCCTCATCCCAGCCCAGCCCCAAAGACAAGTCCCATGGTGGCATGGCGACCTAGGAGGAGCTGGACGATGACTGCAAGGCCCTTTTCCCTCAGAAGCCACGGACTGTGCTGCAGGACCTGTCCTAACGCTGGCTCCTCCACACATTCACTCACAACTAAATTCTCAGGAAGACCGCTCTGCGGACCTACCGGCTGCGTCTCAATCAGTGAGAAAGAATCAAGATGGCGGAAAAAATGAAGACACAACCTCTCCCTGCAGAGCTCTGCGCGGACAGAAGGTGGGCAGCAAGGCGCACAGGCAACAACAGACACGCGTAGCAACAGACATGCGCAGCAACAGGTCTGTGCAACATGCGCACTGAGGAGGGCATTCGCCTCCAGACTGAAGTTTTCCTGCCTCTGTGGAGAACCTAAACCAGCAGCGCTCCTAACATCGAAAATGAATTGCAAAGCACTTTTCTTTTTCTCCCGCCCAACCTTTCTTTCCCTTCCAGTGGCTTTGGAGAATATGAGCCCCAGCTTACTCTAATAATGTGTTTCAGAAAAATTCACCATCACAGAAATAAATCTTAAATATTTTAATACGTTTTATATACGCTTCCAGAAATCATTTTTTTGCCTCCTTCACGAGTTTGCTGTCATGCTTGCAGTGGTGTTATCCACTCCAATACGATAAGACATTCATAGTTCTTGGTTGCATTATTGTACGTTCAAAATCATTGATCCAGCTGGACAACATTAAAGTGGTAGGAACTCAAGCTTAGTTGTTGAATCCCTGTTTCACCCACTGTTTTGAAATGGCTCTTTTATCATCACCTACATCCCCACTCAATTTTGTATGTAACTCTCTTCTTTTAATTTTCTTCCATTGAGTTGTTTATACCTGTACCACTACTGCAGTATTTTAATTGCTGTAGCTTAATGATAGTTGAAATGTGAGGTAATGCTTGCCCTCCCTCACTGATTTCTCCTTTTCTATCAATTCTGACACGTTGGTCTTTCAGATGAACTGCAGAATCATTTGATCAGGTGCTAAAATATTCCTGTTGAGATACTAGTTACTATTTTTATATTACATGCTAACTCTGGGACAATAGCCATCTATTTAAGAATCTCGCAATAAAAAAAAAAAAATAAAAAAAAGCCACTCCTCAATTCCTCAAGTCTTTTAACGTATCCCACACAATGACTGTGTTATTTTCTTCATATTAGTTCTTCACATTCAAATTAAATTTATTCATGGCCATTTTTATTTTTCATCCAACTGCTACAGAATACACATTCTTTTCCCCAGCACATGGATCATTCTCAAGGACAAGGCCATATCTTAGGTCTGAAAACATTAAAAAAAAAAAAAAACCCGAAATAGTATCATGGATCTTGTCAGACCACAGTGGCATAAAACTAGAAATTAATAACAAGAGGAATTTTGGAAACTATACAAATACATGAAAACTGAATAATCTGATCCTGAATGAATAATGGGTCAATGAAGAAGCTAAGAAGGAAATTTAAAAATTTATTGAAACAAATGACGATGGAAATACAACATACCAAAACCGATGGGATACAGCAAAAGCAGTACTCAGAAAGAGGTTTATAGCCATAAGTGCCTACAACAAAACAGGTAAAAACTTCAAATAAACAATCTAATGATGCATCTTAAAGAGCTGCAAAGAAAGAGTAAATCAAACCAAAAATTAGAAGAAAAGAAATAATGAAGATCCCAGCAGAAATAAACGAAATTGAAATGAAAAAAAACCCCACAAAAGATCAATAACACAAAAAGTTGTTTTTTAATAAGTTAACCCAAATTTACAAACCATTAGCCAAGCTAAGAAAAAAAGAGAGAAACCCAAATAAATAAAATCCGAAATGAAAAAGGATTTGGGAGGCTGAGGCAGGTGGATCACTTGAGGCTGGGACCTCAAGACCAACCTGGCCAATATGGCAAACTCCATCTCTACTAAAAATAAAAATAATTAACCAGGTATGGTGGTAGGCACCTGTAATCCCACCTACTAGGGTGGCTGAGGCAAGAGAATTGCCTGAACCCTGGAGGTGGAGGTTCTAGTGAGCTGAGACTCTGCTATTACACTCAAGCATGAGAACAAAAGGAAACTCTTTCTCCAGGAAAAAAAAAAAAAAAAACAGAAAAGAAAAAAAACAAAAGAAAGAAAAAGAAATGAAAAACAAGATGTTACAAAACTGATGCTGCAAAAATTCAAAGGATCATAACTGGCTCCTACAAGAAACTCCAGGCCTAAAAATTGGAAAATCTAGAAAAAAATGGACCAATTCCTAGATACATACAACCTCTGAAGACTGAACCAGGAAGAAATCCATAACCTGAACAGACCAATAACAAGCAACAAGATCAAAGCCGTAATAAAAAGTCTTCCAGTAAAGAAACGCCTGGACCTGATGGCTTCACTACTGAATTCTACCCAACGTTTAAAGAAGGAATAATACCAATCCTACTCAAACAACTTTGAAAAATAGAAGAGGAGGGGATAGTTCCAAACTCATTCTATGAGGCCAATATTACCCTGAAACCAAAACCAGACAAAGACACATCAAAAAAAGAAAACTATAGGGCAAAACCGCTGATGAATATTGATGCAGAAATCCTCAACACAATACTAACAAACCAAATTCAACAATACGTTAGAAAGAATCATCATCATGACCAAGTGAGATTTATCCCTGGGATGGAAGGATGGTTTAACATATGCAAATTAATGTATGTGATAAATCATATCAATGGAATGATAGATAAAAACCATATAATCATTTCAATTGATGCTGAAAAGCATTTAATAAATCTCAGTGTGTCATCATGATACAAACGCTCAAAACACCAGTGAAAGAAGGAACATACTTCAATGTAATAAAGCCATATACCACATACCCACAGCCAGTATTGAAGTGCCTCATTGTCTGGGGTAACACCCAGAGTTCTTGGACTCACAGCCAAGGAAATCAAGGACATGGGCACACCAAGAGTGAGGTGTAGAGCAGAAAGTTAATAGGAGAAACAAAGAGAACAGCTTTCTACTGCAGAGAGGGGTCCCAGAAAAAAACAGTTGCCATCCTGCAATGAAATACAGGGGTTTTTATAGATGAGCTAGTGGGGAGGCTGTATCTGATCACCCACATAGGGTACAAACAACCGGTTAGGACCAGGTGTACCATCTGCATAGGGTGTGAATCTCTGGCAGCCCCCACCCTAATCTTTTATTATGCAGGTGGGTCCTCAGCCTGGGCTACTCCCTGTTGCTCATTTCCTTCTTACCGTGCATGTGCTAAAAAAGGGGAGGTGGAAAGCCCATGGTGGACATGCCTGGCCCCACGTGGCCTTTTCTATCTGTGCAGCTGTTGGCATCCCACTATGAAAGCTTCCAGCTTCCTATCTATCTATGATAGAAAATCAATGTACCAACATTTTATCTCCGTGTACCATCTCAAACACAGGATTTAAACGTTCAAAAAAGGTTCAATTCTCAGGACTATTAAAAGATCCAGAAACAAATTTAACAAAAATGTGCAAGGATTCTTTGCAGAGAACTGTAAAACTTTAATAAAAGAATGTTATCAGTCAAATATCCAGCATAACAATAACATTCTTCGTTTCAGTCTTCATTTTTCTTGGTGTACACCTATGGTTGCGCATCACCTATAACATAAATATAAAATTAGGACCCGTTACCAGATTTTTATTCATATGACACTAGCGGTATACAACTACCGTGTTGATGAACTAATATCAGAACCCTGAGGGTGACCCTTTAGCCGACATCCAGTTAGCCTCTGAATAAACTCAGGCATATTAACAATATTTTTAATTCATGGCACTTTTTCTAGTAGAATAAGGAAACAAACAGACTATTCAACTTCAGAATGAATTCAATCAAGTGAATCTATTTGTATGTATAAGTGGAAAGCAAAAAACAAACAAACAAAAAAAACCGCATATACTTTCAATGAAAATTCAATGAAACAAAACCCCAAGGGAAAAGGTATTTTTAAAGTATCATTTAAATATTTTGATATAAAATAACACTTGAATACAGAATATGTTTAGAACTCCCTAAGTGAAGGAAATAGAAAAGTCAGTATTACATTTGTTTTGTGTCTCTTGTGAAAAAGTGTAAAAACGTTACTTTGGACTAGTTTAGCCATTATGCAGTTGCGTTAAGTAGGGCGAACATTTGTCACTACTTTCACCGGAACTCCTGCCTCTTTACATGCCTAAAGGCAGTTCATTTCATACAGTAAACTGAATACCCACGCTAGCTGTAAGCCATTACCATCACAGTTAACATCACAAAATAAACTGATGCTTATTATAAACACGTTACATATTTGTTAAAAACAGGCCTCTATAAAAATATCTGAAACTTACTGGCTGTTGGTTAAATCACTTACATACAAAGGTGAGAACATGTTTTCAAATCTTTTTTTAAAAATGACACATAAAATCGTATATATTTATCACGTATAACATGAAGCTTTAAAATATATATACACATTGTGAAATGGCTACATCAAGCTAATTAATATCTGCATTACTTCAAATAGCTGTGAAGACACTCGGTATCTACTCTCTTAGCATGTTTCATATCTTTCACATCATAATCCAATTAACTTTGACCCAATTTTTCTCCATCTCTTGAAATCCTCGCCTCAAGTGATCCTTCTGCCTCGGCCTCCCAAAGTGCTGGAATTAAAACCATGAGCCAGCACACCTGGCGCTCTATCTCTAATAGTGTGCAAGGCAGCCATTTGGGGTGTAAACTACCTTCAAAGAATCTTTAGACGTGCAGTAAGATATTAAAGTAGCACTAATTTTACCTCTGTGTCACAAAAATATAATATTGTGAAAACAGACACCCTATAGTTTGCATCTTAATTGAACAACATACCTGCTTCCAGCACTTTAGTGGGATCAAAAGTGGGCAGAGTCCCCTCCCTGACATCAGGACCATCTCCAGGCTCATCCTCTATCTTAAGCAGAGCCAGTGCCTGTTGAAAAGCTTCCACGTCAGGCCCTTAAAAGATAAAAAGGTCATCAGTTTACAAATTAAAACATGAACTATGAACGAGGAAATGATAATTTATTCCCTCATCATTATGAAATAAAAACCTGTAGGCTAATTATTTCAGGAGTCTGTTGCCAGGAAAACAAGAAAGCAGAGATGTTCAAACATCACCCTTTCCTTTCCCAAGGCTGGCCCTAGACAACTTACTTGCCCCTTTGTACTCATTTGTTCTTATTCTTATCACATTAAATCAGTGATTTGTTTGAGTCAGTCTGACTAGACTATGAGCTTTAGGCTACAGTTTGGCACTGACGTTTCCAGCACTTAGTAACATGGCATGAGAAAGCATTAATAAATGTGTATTAAAAAGTTTCTTAAAAAATACATGGGACGTCCACAGATGGCAGACTGGGAAGCTACAAGGAGCCGTTCTTCCACAGAAACATAAAAAACAAAACAAAACAAACCAAAAAACAGAAAATGGCTGAGCAAACCATACAGCAGCTCTGGAAAACACTCACAGGCTTATGACAACCATGCAAGTACCCTATCAATAAAAAGCCTCTGTCAAAATGGTAGGAAAGTTTTGTGGCTTTTTATGCGTCCTTGTCCCACCCCTCCCCACAGCAGCAGCAGGAAACGTTTAAGATTCCTTCCTAATGTTTTCTGGCCTCCTGTTACTGGTATGTCATAAAATATAATGCATAAATATACCTCCACCACCCACAAGCATTATTCTCCACTCTCCCTTCACCTTGAACAGCAGGTGCTCCTTCATTTTCGATCTCCCCACTAGGTGCAATACCCTGATTTTCAGTTGGTGCTTCCTCTTCTTGACGTTTTTCCTCAGTGGGCTGCTGGACCTAAGGGTGTAAGTGTGTGTGCGAATAAAAACTCAATAATATAAATACACAAATGCATATGTGCATCGAATCATAAATCTAAAGATATTCTTCCAACAGACATATATATATATACACACACAGAGAGAGAGAGAGAGAGAGAGAGAAATATCCATATCCATACAGGTAACACCAGAATATAATATTTCTGAACCAAAGTTTCCTTCATGAGATGTCATCATCATTTTTTATCAGCAAGGAACCCCTGGACCAGTGCATGCACACTAGCTCAATTATATTTTGTAAAATAAATTGTGTTAATAGAAAACATCAAATGTTAAAGGACTCACAATCACAGATTCAACCGGCTGGGAAGACTCTTGGTCATTTCCTCTTTCTGAGGATTGGGATCTTGTTCTTACATGCTCACTCATATTTCCCACTGAAAACAGAATATTGTTATTTGGAAAAAGTGTGTAAGAACGTAGCTACATATATGAACATTCCATGGCAAAATGGTGATTTGTACTTTTAAACGTTTGAATTTATCTTAATTTTGAAACTATTTTCAAACTAATTCACAGAGCAATGATAAGTACTCATGCTTTGCAATCAAACTAAGGACAGATTTGTTTGTATCACAGTTGAAGAGGCACAGAAATCACCTTAACGCCATAGCAAAAGACAGAAGACATTCCTGAGTTTTGGTTTCACAATCAGACTCTCCATCATGAAGACATTTAGGAAAAAATGGGCAGAGAATTGAAACTGAAATGACTACTGCTTTCGTCTCACTCTGATTTGCTAGGCCCATTTCACCCCCACACCCTTCCCAAAATCGAGTCTTGCTGGAAAGCACAGCCTCACCCATTCCTTCCCATGACGTTCACAGCGGAGGTGAGAAATTGTGAAACAGAGTGAACGTCATGCTCCTCACGGGACACCTCTGCCAGGCACTCTACAGACCTCAGGGCCGCAGTCACCAGCCCACAGCGTTCCCAGTTCCCAGGCCCCTTCCTTACCGAACACGCTGTCCCTTTCCGCGCCCCTACCTAGGAGTCTAGAAACTGTCCTGTCTCAGAGGGTTCCAGGAGTTTCCCGGACTCAGACACCTCTAACAGCACGCGCAGCACTCGCCCCATCTTCAAGTGATCCCTCCCCTCTGCGGCCCACCTTCCTCCCTAGTCCCAGCCCAGCCACAATAAGGAGTCCCATGGTGGCATTGCGACCTGGGTGGAGCCGGACGAGGCCCTTTTCCCTCAGAAGCCACGGACTGTGCTGCAGGACCTGTCCAAAGCCAGCTGGCTCCTCCACACATTCACTCACAACTAATTTCCCAGGAAGACCAGTCTGTGGACCTACCGGCTGCGTCTCAATCAGTGAGAAAGAATCAAGATGGCGGAAAGAATGAAGACACAACCTCTGCCTGCAGAAATCTGCGTGGACAGAAGGTGGGGAGCAAGGCGCATGCGCAACAACAGACACGCGTAGCAACAGACATGCGCAGCAACAGGTCTGTGCAGCATGCGCACTGAGGGGGGCATTCGCCTGGTGACTGAAGTTTTTGTGACTGAAGTTCTCCTGCCTCTGTGGAGAACCTAAACCACCAGTGCTCCTGAAATCGAAAATGAACTTGGAAAGCACTTTTCTTTTTCTCCCGCCCAACCTTTCTTTCCCTTCCAGTGGCTTTGGAGAATATGAGCCCCAGCTTACTCTAATAATGTGTTTCAGAAAAATTCACCATCACAGAAATAAATCTTAAATATTTTAATACCTGTTTTATATACGCTTCCAGAAATCATTTTCTTGCCTCCTTCACGAGTTTGCTGTCATGCTTGCAGTGGTGTTATCCACTCCAATACGATAAGACATTCATAGTTTTTGGTTGCATTATTGTACGTTCAAAATCATTGATCCAGCTGGACAACATTAAAGTGGTAGGAACTCAACCTTAGTTGTTGAATCCCTGTTTCACCCACTGTTTTGAAATGGCTCTTTTATCATCGCCTACATCCCCACTCAATTTTGTATGTAACTCTCTTCTTTTAATTTTCTTCCATTGAGTTGTTTATACCTGTACCACTACTGCAGTATTTTAATTGCTGTAGCTTAATGGTATTTAAAATGTGAAGTAATGCTTGCCCTCCCTCACTGATTTCTCCTTTTCTATCAATTCTGACACGTTGGTCTTTCAGATGAACTGCAGAATCATTTGATCAGGTGCTAAAATATTCCTGTTGAGATACTAGTTACCATTTTTATATCACATGTTAACTCTGGGACAATAGCCATCTTTCTATTTTAGAATCCCTCAACAAACAAACAAAAAAAAAGCCACTCCTCAATTCCTCAAGTCTTTTAACATATCCCACACAATGACTGTGTTATTTGCTTCATATTACTTCTTCACATTCAAATTAAATTTGTTCATGGGTATTTTTATTTTTCCATTCCATTGCTGACCCGTGTTTGCTTTTACTCCACTGTGTTTTTCATACAAGTCAAACAATCTCTGTTTTCAAACAATATGATTCCATACCTAGAAAATCCCAGACTCTCTGCCCAAAATCTGCTTGATCTTATAAACAACTTCAGGAAAGCTTCAAGATACAAAATTAATGTACAAAAACAGGAGCGTTTCTCTACACCAACTACCTTGAAGCTCAGAGCCAAATCAGAAACACAATCCCATTCACAATTGCCACAGAAAGAATAAAATACCTAGGAATACAGCTAACCAGGGAGGAGAACCATCTCTACTATGAGAACTACAAAACACTGCTCAAAGAAAGCAGAGATGACACAAACAAACGGAAAAACATTCCATGCTCATGAACAGGAAGAATATTGTCAAAATGGCAAATCTGACCAAAGCAATTCATACATTCAGTGATATTCCTATTAAACTACCAATGACATTCCTCACGGAATTAGAAAAAAACAAACTACTTTAAAATTCATATGGAGCCAAAAAGGAGCCCAAATAGCCAAGGCAATCCTAAAGAAAAAGAATGAAGCCAAAGCATCATATTACTTGACTTCAGAGTATAATACAAGGCCATTGTAAACGAAACGGCATGGTATCAATACCAAAACAGTCACAAAGACCAATGAAATAGAATACACAGCCCAGAAATAATGCTGCACACCTCACGCCTATTACCATCTGATCTTCAACAAAGTTGACAAAAACAAGCAATGTAGACAGGACTCTCTATCCAATAAATGGTGCTATATGTAAAAGATTGAAACAGGACCACCTCTTATTAAGAAAAATTAACTAAAGGTGGATTCAGAAACTAAATGTAAAACCCAAATTCATAAAAATCCTGGAAGACCCAGGCATTCTCATCCTGGACGTAGGAAAGAGCAAAGATTTCATAATGAAGATGCCAAAAGCAATTGCAACAAAAGCAAACATTGCCAAATGGAATGTAATGAAACTAAAGAGCTCCTGCACAGCAAAAAAAACAAAACAAAACAGAACAAAAAACAACGATCCACAGAGACAACACACAACACAGAGAATGGGAGAAACTATTTACAAACTATGCATCTATCTAAGGTCTCGTATCCACAATCTATAAAGAACTTAAAGAAATTTACAAAAAACAAAAACAAAAAATAAAAAGACACGCCACGTGCGGTGCCTCACACTTCTAATCCCAGCACTTTCGAAGGCCAAGATGGGCAGATCACTGGAAGCTAGGATTTCGAGACCAGCCTGGCAAACATGAAAAACCCTGGCTCTACCATAAAATACAAACATTAGCTGGGAGAGGTGGTGCACGCCTGTAATCCCAGATAATAGCGTGGCTGAGGCAGCAGAATAGCTTGAACCCAGGAAGTGGAGGTTGCAGTGAGTGGAGATCGTGCTACTGCTCTCCAGCCTGGGCAACAGACCGAGACTGCATCTCAATAAACAAAACAAAACAGCCCATACCAGTAAAAAGTGGGCCAAGGACATGAACAGACACATTCAAAGGAAGACATGCATGAGGCCACAGCATATGAAATAAAGCTCAAAGTCACTGACCATTGGAGAAATACAATTCAAACCACAATGAGATATCATCTCACACCAGGCAGAATGGCTATTATTAAAAAGTAAAAAAATAAAATAACAGATGCTGGTGACATTGTAGAGAAAAAGAAACACTTATTCACTGTTGGTGGAAGTGTAAATTAGTTCAACCATCGTGGGAAACAGTGTGCTGATTTCCCAGAGACCTAGGATATTATCCAGGAGAACTTCCCCAATCTAGCAAGACAGGACAACATTCAAATTCACGAAATACAGAGAACACTACTCTGTTGCTCCTTGGGAAGAGCAACCTGAAGACAACAATCATCAGATTCTTCAAGGTTGAAACAAAAGGAAAAATGTTAAGGGCAGCCACAGAGAAAGGTCAGGTTACCTACGAAGGAGAGCCCATCAGACTAACAGCGGATCTCTCTACAGAAACCCTACAAGCCAGAAGAGAGTGGGGGCCGATATTCAACATTCATAAAGAAAAGCATTTCAACCCGGAATTTCATACCCAGCAAAACTAAGCTTCATAAGGGAAGGAGAAACAAAATCCTTTCCAGGACAGCAAATGCTGAGAGAGTTTGTCACCGTCAGGCCTGCCTTACAAGAGCTCCTGAAGGAAGCACTAAATATGAAAAGGAAAAACCAGTACCAGCCACTGAAAAACAAACAGAAATATAAAGACAATGACACTATGAAGTGAAGACACTGCATCAACTAATGTGCAAAGTAACCAGCTAGCATCATGATGACAGGATCAAATTCACACATAACAATATTAATCTTAAATGTGGAGACTGGCACATTGGATAAAATGTCAAGACCCATCGGTGTGATACATACAGAAGACCCATCTCACGTGCAAAGGACACACAGGCTCAAAATAAAGGGATGGAGGAATATTGACCAAGAAAATTGAAAGCAAAAAAAAAGCAGGGGTTGAAACCCCAGTCTCTGATAAAACAGACTTTAAATCAACAAAATACAAAATTAGCTTGGCATGGTGGTGCATGCCTGTAATCCCAGCTACTAGTGTGGCTGAGGCAGGAGAATCACTTCAAACAGGGAGGCAGAGGTTGCAGTGAGTGGAGACCATGCAACTGCACTCCAGCCTGGGCAACAGACTGAGACTCTATCTCAGAAAACAAAACAAAACAAAAAATAATACCACTAAAAAGTGGCCCAAGGACAGGAACAAACACATTTTTAAAAAGACATGCATGCGGCCAACAAGCATATGAAATAAAGTTCAAAGCCACTGATCATTAGAGAAGTGCAATTCAAGCCACAATGATATATCACCTCCCACCAATCAGAATGGCTATTATTAAAAAGTAAAAAATAAAATAAAATTTAAAAAATAACAGGTGCTGGTGATGTTGTGGAGAAAAAGAAACACTTAATCACTGTTGGTGGAAGTGTACATTAGTTCAACCATTGTGGGAAACAGTGTGCTCATTCCCCAGAGACCTAAAAACAGAACTACCATTCGATCCAAGCAATCCCATTACTGGGTATACAGTCAAAGGGATATAAACTGTTCTGTTATAAAGACACATGCACACATACGTTCACTGCAGCACTATTCACAATACCAAAGACATGGAATCAACCAAAAAGCCCATCAATGGTAGACTGGATAAAGAAAATGTAGTACATATATACCACGGAATAGTATGCAGCCATAAAAACGAATGACACTATCTCTGTTGCTGGAATAAGGATGGAGCTGGAGGTCATTATACTTAGCAAAGCAAAGCATGAACAGAAAACTAAATACTGTATGTTCTCACTTATAAGTGGGAGCTAAAAATGAGAAAAAATCAACACACAGAGGAGAACAACAGACACTGGGGCCTACCAAAGACTGGAGGATGGGAGGAGGGAGAGGATCAGGAAAAATAGCTCATGAGTACCAGGCTTAATACCTGGGTGACAAAATAATCTGTACAACAAACCCCCATGACACAAGTTCACTTGCATGACAAACCTGCACCACATGTATGTCTGAACTTAAAAGATACAAAAAGAATAAGAAAAAATAGATTTCAAAACAAAAACTTTGAGAAGAGACTAAAAGGTCACTATATAATAATAAAGGGGTCAATTCATCAAGAGGATATTAACAATTTTAAATATATATGCACGCAACACTTGAGCACCCAGATATATAAAACAAATGCAATTAGAGCTAGAGAGAGAGATAGGCCCCAATAAAATAATAGATGGAGACTTCAGCACCCCACATTCAGTATTGGACAGATCTGCCAAACAGAAACTCAACAACAACAATAACAACAAAAACAAACAAACAAACAAAAAAAAACAGAGTTAATCTGCACTACAGACACATAGATCTAATAGATATTTACAGAACATTTCATCCAACGGCCACAGAATACACATTCTTTTCCCCAGCACATGGATCATTCTCAAGGACAAGACCATATGTTAGGTCTCAAAACATTAAAAAAAAAAAAAAAACCTGAAATAATATCATGGATCTTGTCAGACCACAGTGGCATAAAACTAGAAATTAGTAACAAGAGGAATTTTGGAAACTATACAAATACATGAAAACTGAATAGGGGAAGCTCGAGCTGTTGTGGGGTCCGTGCGGGAGTCGGGGTGGCAGAGCCATGGTCGGGCAACTGAGCGAGGGGGCCATTGCGACCATCATGCAGCAGGGGGATACATCCATAAAGCCCATCCTCCAAGTCATCAACATCCCTCCCATTACTATGGGGAATAGTCTTCCATGTTATCGACTGCTTGTGAGTGATGGATTGAACCCTCTATCCTCTTTCATGTTGGCAACACAGTTGAACCCCCTTGTGGAGCAAGAACAACTGTCCAGCAACTGTGTTTGCCAGATTAACTGATTTATCGTGAACACTTTGAAAGACGGAAGGAGAGTAGTTATTTTGATGGAATTAGAAGTTTTGAAGTCAGCTGAAGTAGTTGGAGTAAAGATTGGCAATCCAGTGCCCTATAATGAAGGACACGGGCAGCCACAAGCAGCTCCTCCAGTGTCAGCAGGCAGCCCAGCGGCAAGCAGCAAGCCCCAGCAATAGCACGGAAGCTCCGGAGCGGGTTCCACTGTTTCTAAGGCTTATGGTGCTTCAAAGACATTTGGAAAAGCTGGAGGTCCCAGCCTGTCAAACACTTCTGGGGGAACACAGTCCAAAGTGGTGCCCATTGCCAGCCTCACTCCTTACCAGTTCAAGTGGACTATTTGTGCTCATGTTACCAACAAAAGTCAGATCTGTACCTGGAGCAACTCCCGAGGGGAAGGGAAGCGTTTCTCTCTGGAACTGGTTGATGAAAGTGGTGAAATCAGAGCTACAGCTTTCAACGAGCAAGTGGACAAGTTCTTTCCCCTTATTGAAGTGAACAAGGTGTATTATTTCCCAAAAGGCACCCTGAAGATTGCTAACAAACAGTTCACAGCTGTTAAAAATGACTTCGAGATGACCTTCAATAACGAGACTTCCGTCATGCCCTGTGAAGACGGCCATCATTTACCTACGGTTCAGTTTGATCTCACGGGGATTGATGACCTCGAGAACAAGATGAAAGACTCACTTGTAGAAATCATGGGGATCTGCAAGAGCTACGAAGATGCCACTAAAATCACAGTGAGGTCTAACAACAGAGAGGTTGCGAAGAGGAATATCTACTTAATGGACACATCCAGGAAGGTGGTGACTGCTATGCTGTGGGGGGAAGATGCTGATAAATTTGATGGTTCTAGGCAGCCCGTATTGGCTATCAAAGGAGCCAGAGTCTCTGATTTCGGTGGACGGAGCCTCTCCGTGCTGTCTTCAAGCACTATCATTGCGAATCCTGACATCCCGGAGGCCTATAAGCTTCGTGGTTGGTTTGACGCAGGACAAGCCTTAGACGGTGTTTCCATCTCTGATCTAAAGAGCGGCAGTGTTGGAGGGGGCAACACCAACTGGAAAACCTTGTACGAGGTCAAATTCGAGAACCTGGGCCAAAGCAACAAGCCGGACTACTTCAGTTCTGTGGCCACAGTGGTGTATCCTCACAAAGAGAACTGCATGTACCAAGCCTGCCCGACTCAGGAATGCAATAAGAAAGTGATTGATCAACAGAACGGATTGTACCGCTGTGAGAAGTGCGACACCGAATTTCCCAATTTCAAGTACCACATGATCCTGTCAGTAAATATTGCAGATTTTCAAGAGAATCAGTGGGTGACTTGTTTCCAGGAGTCTGCTGAAGCTATCCTTGGACAAAATGCTGCTTATCTTGGGGATTTAAAAGATAAGAATGAACAGGCATTTGAAGAAGTTTTCCAGAATGCCAACTTCCGATCTTTCATATTCAGAGTCAGGGTCAAAGTAGAGACCTACAACGAAGAGTCTCGAATTAAGGCCACTGTGATGGACGTGAAGTCGGTGGACTACAGAGAGTACGGCCGAAGGCTGGTCCTGAGCATCAGGAGAAGCGCGTCGATGTGAGGAGAGCAGTGCCGATTGGGCAGAAGTTTGCAAATAAAGAGCCAGAATAGAATCGATTTCCTCCCACCTCTGTGTGACGATCCCATGTTGGCTACTCAGCACAGAAGCTGTCTATGGTGGACTAAGCAATTTCCTCTCTTGTGTACATCTCAGAACCCATCAGTAGGCAAAGGAAAATATGTGCGGGTGGCTGTGGTGTAGACCGTGTCAGGCCTACGGAGTTAGCCAGTGGTTAGTGTAAGACCAGTCACTCCCTCTGCCTTCAGGCTTTTGTAAATTTCATTATCATCAAGCAGGAATTATGTCATAAGTCACTGACCCTAACTGCAGACCATGAAGTAAATTATGTAACAAGGTTTTTCCTGCTCCAGCAGTGACCCCCCAACCTCACAACTTGGGTTCTTCTCAGCAGGGAGAGCTGAGAAGCGTTTGTAGGCACCTGGGTATTTTAGTAACTGTGTCTTCCTAGAATTCAAAGGCTCTCTCTTTCTAGAGGTGCTACATAGTTGTTAATGCTTGGAATGGCAATAGGGTAGAATTATTAATCAAAGGCATCTCTTTTATATCTGAAGAGTATCCTTCCTTCAGGGTTTAATAGACTGAGTCAGATGGGTCTGATATTAATCAAAATTGTCTCTTCTGAGGACTGCTGATAAGCATTAACTTGCTGTCCCCTAGGGAAATCCAAGCGACTACAAAGCGTTTCTTTAGTTTTCATTTCAATTAATGTTGCATTTCGCTTGGTGAATGCATACTTTTTCTACCTGTACATATTCCTGGCATTCGTATATTTTGTTTTTTTGACTAAAGCTACGTTACATGGAAAGGATTTTGAAGCCTTTTGTTTCCCTTGCTTTGTTTTAATAAACAGTATATACTTTGCTTGTGGAAAAAAAAAAGGAAACTGAATAATCTGATCCTGAATGAATAATGGGTCAATGAAGAAGCTAAGAAGGAAATTTAAAAATTTATTGAAACAAATGACGATGGAAATACAACATACCAAAACCGATGGGATACAGCAAAAGCAGTACTCAGAAAGAGGTTTATAGCCATAAGTGCCTACAACAAAACAGGTAAAAACTTCAAATAAACAATCTAATGATGCATCTTAAAGAGCTGCAAAGAAAGAGCAAACCAAACCAAAAATTAGAAGAAAAGAAATAATGAAGATTCCAGCAGAAATAAATGAAATTGAAATGAAAAAAACCACACAAAAGATCAATAACACAAAAAGTTGTCTTTTTAATAAGTTAACCCAAATTTACAAACCATTAGCCAAGCTAAGAAAAAAAGAGAGAAACCCAAATAAATAAAACCAGAAATGAAAAAGGATTTGGGAGGCTGAGGCAGGTGGATCACTTGAGGCCGGGACCTCAAGACCAACCTGGCCAATATGGCAAACTGCATCTCTACTAAAAATAAAAATAATTAACCAGGTATGGTGGTAGGCGCCTGTAATTCCACCTACTAGGGTGGCTGAGGCAAGAGAATTGCTGGAACCCTGGAGGTGGAGGTTCTAGTGAGCTGAGACTCTGCTATTACACTCAAGCATGAGGACAAAAGGAGACTCTGTCTCGAGAAAAAAAAAAAAAAAGAAAGAAAAGAAAAAAGAAAAATTGAAAAAGAAATGAAAAACAAGATGTTACAAAACTGATGCTGCAAAAATTCAAAGGATCATAACTGGCTCCTATGAGAAACTCCATACCTATAAATTGGAAAATCTAGAAAAAATGGACTAATTCCTAGATACATACAACCTCTCAAGACTGAACGAGGAACAAATCCATAACCTGAACAGACCAATAACAAGCAACAAGATCAAAGCCATAATAAAAGTCTTCCAGTAAAGAAACGCCTGGACCTGATGGCTTCACTACTGAATTCTACCCAACGTTTAAAGAAGGACTAATACCAATTCTACTCAAACTACTTTGAAAAACAGAAGAGGAGGGAATAGTTCTAAACTCATTCTATGAGGCCAGTATTACCCTGATACCAAAACCAGACGAAGACACATCAAAAAAAGAAACTACAGGGCAAACCCGCTGATGAATATTGATGCAGAAATCCTCAACACAATACTAGCAAATCAAATTCAACAATACGTTAGAAAGAATCATCATCATGACCAAGTGAGATTTATCCCTGGGATGGAAGGATGGTTTAACATATGCAAATTAATGTATGTGATAAATCATATCAATGGAATGATAAAAACCATATAATCATTTCAATTGATGCTGAAAAGCATTTAATAAATCTCAGTGTGTCATCATGATACAAATGCTGAAAACACCAGTGAAAGAAGGAACATACTTCATTGTAATAAAAGTCATATACCACAGATCCACAGCTAGTATTGAAGTGCCTCATTGTCTGGGGTAACACCCAGAGTTCTTGGACTCACAGCCGAGGAAATCAAGGACATGGGCACACCAAGAGTGAGGTGTAGAGCAGAAAGTTAATAGGAGAAACAAAGAGAACAGCTTTCTACTGCAGAGAGGGGTCCCAGAAAAAAACAGTTGCCATCCTGCAATGAAATACAGGGGTTTTTATAGATGAGCTAGTGGGGAGGCAGTATCTGACCACCCACATAGGGTACAAACAACCGGTTAGGACCAAGTGTACCACCTGCATAGAGTGTGAATCTCTGGCAGCCCCCACCCTAATCTTTTATTATGCAGGTGGGTCCTCAGCCTGGGCTACTCCATGTTGCTCATTTCGTTCTTACTGTGTATGTGCTAAAAAAGGGGAGATGGAAAGCCCATGGTGGACATGCCTGGCCCCACGTGGCCTTTTCTATCTGTGCAGCTGTTGGCATCCCACTATGAAAGCTTCCAGCTTCCTATCTATCTATGATAGAAAATCAATGTACCAACATTTTATCTCCATGTACCATCTCAAACACAGGATTTAAACGTTCAAAAAAATTACAATTCTCAAGACTATTAAAGATCCAGAAACAAATTTAACAAAAACGTGCAAGGATTCTTTGCAGAAAACTGAAAAACTTTAATAAAAGAATGTTATCAGTCAAATATCCAGCATAACAATAACATTCTTCGTTTCAGTCTTCATTTTTCTTGGTGTAAACCTATGGTTGCGCATCACCTATAACATAAATATAAAATTAGGACCTGTTACCAGATTTTTATTCATATGACACTAGAGGTACACAACTAACGTGTTCATGAACCAATATCAGAACCCTGAGGGTGACACTTCAGCCTACAACCAGATAGCCTCTGAATATACTCTGAAGGTAGACTTCCAGGCATATTAACAATATTTTTAATTCATGGCACTTTTTCTAGTAGAATAAGAAAACAAAGAGACTGTTCAACTTCAGAATGAATTCAATCAAGTGAATCTATTTGTGTGTATAAGTGGAAAGCAAAAAAACAAAGAAAAAAAACGCATATACATTCAATGAAAATTCAACGAAACAAAATCCAAAGGGAAAAAGATATTTTTAAAGTATCATTTAAACATTTTGATATGAAATAACACTCTGAACACAGAATATATTTAGAACTCCCTAAGTGAAGGAAATAGAAAAGTCAGTATTACATTTGTTTTGTGTCTCTTGTGAAAAAGTGTAAAAACGTTACTTTGGACTAGTTTAGCCATTATGCAGTTGCTTTAAGTAGGGTGAACATTTGTCACTATTTTCACCAGTACTCCTGCCTCTTTACATGCCTAAAAGCAGTTCAGTTTATACAGTAAACTGAATACCCACGCTAGCTGTAAGCCATTACCATCACAGTTAACATCACAAAATAAACTGATGCTTATTATAAACATGTTACGTATTTGTTAACAACAGGCCTCTATAAAAATATCTGCAAATTATTGGCTGTTGGTTAAATGACTTTACATTCAAAAGTCACAACATGTTTTCATATCTTTTTTTAAAAATGACACATAAAATCGAATATATTTATCACATATAACATGATGCTTTAAAATATATATTCACATTGTGAAATGGCTACATCAAGCTAATTAGTATCTGCATTACTTCAAATAGCTGTGAAGACACTCGATATCTACTCTCTTAGCATGTTTCATGAATCTTTCATATCATAATCCAATTAACTTTGACCCAATTTTTCTCCATCTCTTGAAGTCCTGGCCTCAAGTGATCCTTCTGCCTCGGCCTCCCAAAGTGCTGGAATTAAAACCATGAGCCAGCATACCTGGCCCTCTATCTCTGATAGTGTGTGAGGCAGCCATCTGGGATCTGAACTACCTTCAAAGAATCTTTAGACGTGAAATATGATATTAAAGTAGCAGTAATTTTACCTCTGTGTCACACAAAATATAATATTGTGAAAACAGACACCCTATAGTTAGCATCTTAATTGAACAACATACCTGCTTCCAGCACTTTAGTGGGATCAAAAGTGGGCAGAGTCTCCTCCCTGATATCAGGACCATCTCCAGGCTCATCCTCTATCTTAAGCAGAGCCAGTGCCTGTTGAAAAGCTTCCACGTCGGGCCCTTAAAAGATAAAATGGTCATCAGTTTACAAATTAAAACGTGAACTATGAACGAGGAAATGATAATGTTTATTCCCTCATCATTATGAAATAAAAACCTGTAGGCTAATTATTTCAGGAGTCTGTTGCCAGGAAAACAGGAAAGCAGAGATGTTCAAACATCACCCTTTCCTTTCCCAAGGCTGGCCCTAGACAACTTACTTGCCCCTTTTGTACTCATTTGTTCTTATTCTTATCACATTAAATCAGTGATTTGTTTGAGTCAGTCTGACTAGACTATGAGCTTTAGGCAAAAAATTGGTACTGACATCTCCAGCACTGAGTATATTACATGGCATGAGGAAGCATTAATAAATGTGTATTAAAAAGTTTCTTAAAAAATACATGAGATGTCCGCAGATTTCAGACTAGGAAGCTACAAGGAGCCATTCTTCCACAGAAACATAAAATACAAAACAAACCAAAAAACAGGAAATGGCCGAGCAAACCATACAGGAGCTCTGGAAAACACTCACAGGCTTATGACAACCATGCAAGTACCCAATCAATACAAAGCCTCTGTCAAAATGGTAGGAAAGTTTTGTGGCTTTTTATGTGTCCTTGTCCCACCCCTCCCCACAGCAGCAGCAGGAAATGTTTAAGATTCCTTCTATTGTCTTCTGGCCTCCTGTTACTGGTATGTCATAAAATATAATGCATAAATATACCTCCACCACCCACAAGCATTATTCTCCACTCTCCCTTCACCTTGAACAGCAGGTGCTCCTTCATTTTCGATCTCCCCACTAGGTGCAATACCCTGATTTTCAGTTGGTGCTTCCTCTTCTTGACGTTTTTCCTCAGTGGGCTGCTGGACCTAAGGGTGTAAGTGTGTGTGCGAATAAAAACTCAATAATGTAAATACACAAATGCATATGTGCATCGAATCATAAATCTAAAGATATTCTTCCAACAGACGTATATATGTGTGTGTGTATGTGTGTATATATATATATATATATACACACACACACACACCGGGGGGGGGGAGAGAGAGAGAAATATCCATATCCATACAGGTAACACCAGAATATAATATTTCTGAACCAAAGTTTCCTTCATGAGATGCAATCATCATTTTTTTATCAGCATGGAACCGCTGGACCAGTGCATGTACACTAGCTCAAATATATTTTGTAAAATAAATTGTGTTAATAGAAAACATCAAATGTTAAAGGACTCACAATCACAGATTCAACCGGCTGGGAAGACTCTTGGTCATTTCCTCTTTTTGAGGATTGGGATCTTGTTCTTACATGCTCACTCATATTTCCCACTGAAAACAGAATATTGTTATTTGGAAAAAGTGTGTAAGAACTTAGCTATATATATGAACATTCCATGGCAAAATGGTGATTTGTACTTTTAAAAGTTTGAATTTATCTTAATTTTGAAACTATTTTCAAACTAATTCACAGAGCAATGATAAGTACTCATGCTTTGCAATCAAACTAAGGACAGATTTGTTTGTATCACAGTTGAAGAGGCACAGAAATCACCTTAACGCCATAGCAAAAGACAGAAGACATTCCTGAGTTTTGGTTTCACAATCAGACTCTCCATCATGAAGACATTTAGGAAAAAACGGGCAGAGAATTGAAACTGAAATGACTACTGCTTTCGTCCCACTCTGATTTGCTAGGCCCATTTCACCCCCACACCCTTCCCAAAATCGAGTCTTGCTGGAAAGCACAGCCTCACCCATTCCTTCCCATGACGTTCACAGCGGAGGTGAGAAATTGTGAAACAGAGTGAACGTTATGCTCCTCACGGGACACCTCTGCCAGGCACTCTACAGACCTCAGGGCCGCAGTCACCAGCCCACAGCGTTCCCAGTTCCCAGGCCCCTTCCTTACCGAACACGCTGTCCCTTTCCGCGCCCCTACCTAGGAGTCTAGAAACTGTCCTGTCTCAGAGGGTTCCAGGAGTTTCCCGGACTCAGACACCTCTAACAGCACCCGCAGCACTCGCCCCATCTTCATGCGCTCCCTCCCCTCTGTGGCCCACCTTCCTCCCTCGTCCCAGGCCAGCCACAAAGACAAATTCCATGGTGGCATGGTGACCTAGGAGGAGCTGGACGATGACTGCAAGGCCCTTTTCCCTCAGAAGCCACGGACTGTGCTGCAGGACCTGTCCTAACGCTGGCTCCTCCACACATTCACTCACAACTAAATTCTCAGGAAGACCGCTCTGCGGACCTACCGGCTGCGTCTCAATCAGTGAGAAAGAATCAAGATGGCAGAAAGAATGAAGACACAACCTCTCCCTGCAGAGCTCTGCGCGGACAGAAGGTGGGCAGCAAGGCGCACAGGCAACAACAGACACGCGTAGCAACAGACATGCGCAGCAACAGGTCTGTGCAACATGCGCACTGAGGAGGGCATTCGCCTCCAGACTGAAGTTTTCCTGCCTCTGTGGAGAACCTAAACCAGCAGCGCTCCTAACATCGAAAATGAATTGCAAAGCACTTTTCTTTTTCCCCCGCCCAACCTTTCTTTCCCTTCCAGTGGCTTTGGAGAATATGAGCCCCAGCTTACACTAATAATGTGTTTCAGAAAAATTCACCATCACAGAAATAAATCTTAAATATTTTAATACCTGTTTTATATACGCTTCCAGAAATCATTTTCTTGCCTCCTTCACGAGTTTGCTGTCATGCTTGCAGTGGTGTTATCCACTCCAATACGATAAGACATTCATAGTTCTTGGTTGCATTATTGTACGTTCAAAATCATTGATCCAGCTGGACAACATTAAAGTGGTAGGAACTCAAGCTTAGTTGTTGAATCCCTGTTTCACCCACTGTTTTGAAATGGCTCTTTTATCATCACCTACATCCCCACTCAATTTTGTATGAAACTCTCTTCTTTTAGTTTTCTTCCATTGAGTTGTTTATACCTGTACCACTACTGCAGTATTTTAATTGCTGTAGCTTAATGATAGTTGAAACGTGAAGTAATGCTTGCCCTCCCTCACTGATTTCTCCTTTTCTATCAATTCTGACACGTTGGTCTTTCAGATGAACTGCAGAATCATTTGATCAGGTGCTAAAATATTCCTGTTGAGATACTAGTTACTATTTTTATATTACATGTTAACTCTGGGACAATAGCCATCTATTTTAGAATCTCTCAATCAAAAAAAAAAAAAAAAGCCACTCCTCAATTCCTCAAGTCTTTTAACGTATCCCGCACAATGACTGGGTTTTTTGCTACATATTAGTTCTTCACATTCAAATTAAATTTATTCATGGGCATTTTTATTTTTCCGTTCCATTGCTGACACGTGTTTGCTTTTACTCCACTATGTTTTTCACGCAAGTCAAACAACCTCTGTTTGCAAACCATATGATTCCATACCTAGAAAATCCCGGACACTCTACCCAAAAGTTCCTTGATCTTATAAACAACTGCAGGAAATTTTCAGGATACAAAATTAATGTACCTAAAGCAGGAGCGTTTCTGTACACCAACTACCTTGAAGCTCAGAGCCAAATCAGAAGCACAATCCCATTCACAATTGCCACAAAAAGAATAAAATACCTAGGAATACAGCTAACTAGGGAGTAGAACAATCTCTGCTACGAGAACTACAAAACACTGCTCAAAGAAATCAGACATGACACAAACGGAAAATCATTCTATGCTTGTGAACAGGAAGAAGCAATATTTTCAAAATAGCCAAACTGATCAGAGCAATCTATAGATTCAATGGTGTTCCTACTAAACTACGAATGACATTCTATATGGAATTAGAAGAAAACTATTTTAAAATTCATATGGGATGGTTGCAGGGATCTGGCAAGATAGCCTAATAGGAAAAGCGTTGGTCTGCAGTTCCCAGCAAGACCAACACAGAAGGCAAGGGATTTCTGCATTTCCAACTGAGGTACCCAGTTCGTCTTATTGGGACTGGTTAGGCAGTGAGTGCAGCCCACGGAGGGCAAGCAGAAGCAGGGTGGGGCATTGCCTACCCGTGAAATGCAAGGAGTCAGGAATCTCCCTCCCCAAGCCAAGGGAAACTAACATACTGTGCTATCTGGTCCAGATTCTACGCTTCTCCCACAGTTTTTGCAATCTGCAGACGAAAAGATTCCCTCTTGTGCCAACACCAGCAGGACCCTGGGTTTCAAGCACAAAACTGGGCAGTTGTTTGGGCAGACACTGAGCTAGTTGCAGGAGTTTTATGGTTTTTTTTTTGGTACCCCAGTAGCACCTGGAACCCAGTGTCACACAACTGTTCGCTCTCCTGGAAAGGGGGCTGAATCCAGGGAACCAGGTGGTCTTGCTCAGCAGGTGCAGTCCTATGGAGCCCGGCAAGCTAAGAATCACTGGCTTGAAATTCTCATTGCCAGTCCAGCTGTCTGATGTCTACTTGCGACTATTGAGCTTGGTGGGAGGAGGGGTATCCACTATTGCTGAGGCTTGAGTAGGCGATTTTCCCCTGACAATGTTAAGGAAACCTGAAAGCTCGGAATGGGCGGAACTCATCACAGGGTGGCAAAGTGGCTGTGGCCAGATTGCCTCTCTAGATTCCTCCTCACTGGGCAGGGCATCTATGAAAGAAAGGCAGAGGCCCAGTCAGGGGTGTATAGATAAAACTGCCATCTCCCTGAGATAGAGCACCTGGGGGAAGGGATGGCTGTGGGTGCAGCTGCAGTGGACTTAAATGTCCCTGCCTGCCATCTCTGAAGAGAAGAGCAGATCCTGACAAGGAGGTTTCTTCCAGCATAGTGCTTGAGCTCTGCTAAGGGACAGACTGCCTCCTCAAGTGGGTCCCTGACCCCCATGCCTCCTGACTGGGAGAGATCTCCCAGCAGGGATCCACAACCACCTCATATAGGACAGCTCTGGCTGGCATCAGGCCAGTGCCCCTCTGGGACAAAGCTTCCAGAGGAAGAGGCAGGAAGCAATCTTTGCTGTTCTGCAGCCTCCACTGGTGATGCCCAGGCAAACAGGATCTGGAGTGGTCCTCCAGCAACCTGCAGCAGACCTGCAGAAGACGGGCCTGGCTGTTAAAAGAAAATCTGACAAAGGGCTAATATCCAGAACCTACAAAGAACTCAAACAAATTTACAAGAAAAAAACAAACAACCCCATCAAAAAGTGGGCAAAGGATATGAACAGACATTTCTCAAAAGAAGACATTCATACAGTCAACAGACACATGAAAAAATGCTCATCATCACTGGCCATCAGAGAAATGCAAATCAAAACCACAATGAGATACCATCTCACACCAGTTACAATGGCAATCATTCAAAAGTCAGGAAACACCAGGTGCTGGAGAGGATGTGGAGAAATAGGAACACTTTTACACTGTTGGTGGGATTGTAAACTAGTTCAACCATGATGGAAAACAGTATGGCGATTCCTCAAGGATCTAGAACTAGAAGTACCATATGACCCAGCCATCCCATTACTGGGGATATACCCAGAGGATTATAAATCATGCTGCTATAAAGACACATGCACACGTATGTTCATTGCGGCACTATTCACAATAGCAAAGACTTGGAATCAACCCAAATGTCCATCAGTGACAGACTGGATTAAGAAAATGTGGCACATATACACCATGGAATACTATGCAGCCATCAAAAAGGATGAGTTCATGTCCTTTGTAGGGACGTGGATGCAGCTGGAAACCATCATTCTTAGCAAACTATCATAAGAACAGAAAACCAAACACCGCATGTTCTCACTCATAGGTGGGAACTGAACAATGAGATCACTTGGACTTGGGAAGGGGGACATCACACACCGGGGCCTATCATAGGGAGGGGGGAGGGGGGAGGGATTGCATTTGGAGTTATACCTGATGTAAATGACGAGTTGTTGGGTGCTGACGAGTTGATGGGTGCAGCACAGCAACATGGCACAAGTATACATATGTAACAAACCTGCACGTTATGCACATGAACCCTAGAACTTAAAGTATAATAATAATAATAATAATAATAATAATAAAAAGAAAAACTAACAAACAGAAAGCAATAACATCAACATCAACAAAAAGGACTCCCAGATGGAAACCACATCCAAAGGTCATCAGCCTTAAAGATCAAAGGTAGCTAAATCCATGAAGATGAGGAAAAACCAGCACAAAAATCCTGAAAATTCCAAAAACCAGAATGCCTCTTCCCCTCCAAACGATTGCAACTCCTCTCCACCAAGGATACAAAACTGGATGAAGAATGAGTTTGACAAACTGACAGAAGTAGGCTTCAGAATGTGAATAATAACAAACTCCTCTGAGCTAAAGGAGCATGTTCTAACCCAATGCAAGGAAGCTAAGAACCTTGACAAAAGGTTACAGGAACTGCTAACTAGAAGAACTCGTTTTAGGGAAGAACATAAATGACCCGAGGGAGCAGAAAAACAGAGGACTACATCTTCATGAAGCATACACAAGAATCAACAGCTGAATCGATGAGGCGGAAGATCAGAGATTGAAGATCAACTTACTGAAATAAGGCGTGAAGACAAGATTAGAGAAAAAACAATGAGAAGGAATGCATTAAACCCCAAACAAATATGAGACTATGTGAAAAGACCAAACCTATGATTGATTGGGGTCCCTGAACGTGAAGGGGAGAATGAAAGCAAACTGGAAAACACACGTCAGGGTAGTATCCAAGAGAACTTCTCCAACCTAGCAAGACAGGCCAACATTCAAATACAGGAAATACAGAGAACACCACTAAGATACTCCTCGAGAAGAGCAGCCCCAAGACATAATCATCAGATTCTCCAAGGTTGAAACAAAGGGAAAAATGTTAAGGGCAGCCAGAGACCAAGGTCAGATTACCTATAAATGGAAGCCCATCAGATTAACAGCAGATCTTTCTGCAGAAACCCTACAAGCCAGAAGAGAGTGGGGGCCAATGTTCAACATTCATAAAGAAAAGAATTTTCAACCCAGAATTTCATACTGAGCCAAACTAAGCTTCATAAGGGAAGGAGAAACAAAATCCTTTCCAGAACAGCAAATGCTGAGGGATTCTGTCACCATCAGGCCTGCCTTACAAGAGCTCCTGAAGGAAGCACTAAATATGGAAAGGAAAAACTGGTACCAGTCACTGCAAAAACACACCAGAATATAAAGACCAACAACACTATGAAGAAACTGCATCAACTTAAGTGCAAAATAACCAGCTAGCAACATGATGACAGGATCAAATTCATACATAACAATATTAACCTTAAATATAAATGGGCTAAATGCCCCAGTTAAAAGACACAGTCTGGCAATTGGATAAAGAGTCAAGACCCATCATTGTGCTGTATTCAGGAGACCCATCTCACGTGCAAAGACACACATAGCTCAAAATAAAGGAATGGAGTATTGTTGACCAACCAAACCAAAAGCAAAAAAAAAAAAAAAAAAAAAAAGCAGATTCCTAGTCTCTGAAAAAACAGACTTTAAACAAATTTAAACCAGCAAAGATGAAAAAGGACAAAGAAGGGCATTACATAATGGTAAAGGGATCAATCCAACAAGAAGAGCTAACTATCCTAAATATATATCCACCCAATATAGGAGCACCCAGATTCATAAAACAAGTTCTTTGAGACCTACAAAGAGACGTACACACCCACTCAATAATAGTGGGAGACATTAACACCCTATTGTCAACATTAGACAGATCAATGAGATAGAAAATTAACAAAGATATTCAGGACTTGAACTCAGCTCTGGACCAAGTGGATCTAATAGATATATACAGAACTCTCCACCTGAAATCAACAGAATATAC